TGGCGGTGAAGGTTAGGTGGTGGTGGTGGTGGTGAAGTGTTGTGTGGTGGTGTGGTGAAGGTTGTGTGGGTGGTGGTGTGGTGGTGGTGGTGGTGAAGGTAGTGTGGTGTGTGGTGGTGGTGAAGGTAGTGTGGTGGTGGTGGTGAAGGTAGTGTGGTGGTGGTGGTGTGGTGGTGGTGGTGGTGGTGGTGGTGAAGGTGTGTGGTGGTGGTGAAGGTAGTGGTGGTGGTGGTGGTGGTGAAGGTAGTGTGGTGGTGGTGGTGGTGGTGAAGGTAGTGGTGGTGGTGGTGGTGAAGGTAGTGTGGTGGTGGTGGTGGTGGTGTGAAGGTGGTGTGTGGTGGTGGTGGTGGTGAAGGTGGTGTGGTGGTGGTGGTGGTGGTGGTGGTGGTGGTGAAGGTAGTGTGGTGGTGGTGGTGGTAGTGTGGTGGTGGTGGTGTGGTAGTGTGGTGGGTGGTGGTGAAGGTAGTGTGGTGGTGGTGAAAGTGTAGTGTGGTGGTGGTGGTGGTGATTGTGGTGTGGTGATGGTGGTGGTGAAGGTAGTGGTGGTGTGGTGGTGGTGAAGCTAGTGTGGTGGTGGTGGTGGTGGTGGTGAACGTAATGTGGTGGTGGTGAAGGTAGTGTGGTGGTGGTGGTGAAGGTAGTGTGGTGGTGGTGGTGCTGGTGGTGGTGATCGTAGTGTGGTGGTGGTGAAGGTAGTGTGGTGGTGGTGGTGATGAAGGTAGTGTGGTGGTGAAGGTAGTGTGGTGGTGGAGGTGAAGGTAGTGTGTTGGTGGTGGTGGTGGTGAAAGTAGTGTGGTGGTGGTGGTGGTGAAGGTAGTGTGGTGGTGGTGAAGGTAGTGTGGTTGTGGTGGTGGTGGTGAAGGTAGTGTGGTGGTGGTGGTGAAGGTAGTGTGGTTGTGGTGGTGGTGGTGAAGGTAGTGTGGTGGTGGTGGTGAAGGTAGTGTGGTGGTGGTGGTGAAGGTAGTGTGGTGGTGGTGGTGGTGGTGAAGGTAGTGTGGTGGTGGTGGTGGTGGTGGTGGTGGTGGTGGTGAAGGTAGTGGTGGTGTGGTGGTGGTGGTGAAGGCGGGGAGTGTGGTGGTGGTGAAGGTATTGTGGTGGTGGTGGTGAAGGTAGTGTGGTGGTGGTGGTGTGAAGGTAGTGTGGGTGTGGTGGTGGTGGTGAAGGTAGTGGTGGGTGGTGGTGGTGGTGAATGTAGTGTGGTGGTGGTTGTGGGGGAAGGTAGTGTGGTGGTGGTGGAAGGTAGTGTGGTTGTGGTGGTGGTGGTGAAGGTAGTGTGGTGGCGGTGGTGAAGGTAGTGTGGTAGTGGTGGTGGTGGTGAAGGTAGTGGTGTGTGGTGGTGAAGGTAGTGTGGTGGTGGTGGTGAAGTGGTGGTGGTGGTGGTGGTGGTGGTGGTGAAGGTAGTGTGGTGGTGGTGGTGGTGGTGAAGGTTGTGTGGTGGTGGTGGTGGTGGTGAAGGTAGTGTGGTGGTGGTGGTGGTGAAGGTAGTGTGGTGGTGGTGGTGGTGGTGGTGGTGAAGGTAGTGTGGTGGTGGTGGTGAAGGTAGTGTGGTGGTGGTGAAGGTAGTGTGGTGGTGGTGGTGAAGGTAGTGTGGTGGTGGTGGTGGTGGTGGTGGTGAAGGTAGTGTGGTGGTGGTGGTGGTGGTGGTGAAGGTAGTGTGGTGGTGGTGAAGGTAGTGTGGTGGTGGTGGTGGTGGTGGTGGTGATGGTAGTGTGGTGGTGGTGGTGTAAGGTAGTGTGGTGGTGGTGGTGAGAAGGTAGTGTGGTGGTGAAGGTAGTGTGGTGGTGGAGGTGAAGGTAGTGTGTTGGTGGTGGTGGTGAAGGTAGTGTGGTGGTAGTGGTGGTGAAGGTAGTGTGGTGGTAGTGGTGGTGAAAGTAGTGTGGTGGTGGTGGTGGTGAAGGTAGTGTGGTGGTGGTGAAGGTAGTGTGGTTGTGGTGGTGGTGGTGAAGGTAGTGTGGTGGTGGTGGTGAAGGTAGTGTGGTTGTGGTGGTGGTGGTGAAGGTAGTGTGGTGGTGGTGGTGAAGGTAGTGTGGTGGTGGTGGTGAAGGTAGTGTGGTAGTGGTGGTGAAGGTAGTGTGGTGGTGGTGGTGGTGGTGGTGAAGGTAGTGTGGTGGTGGTGGTGGTGAAGGCAGTGTGGTGGTGGTAGTGGTGGTGAAGGTAGTGTGGTGGTGGTGGTGGTGGTGGTGAAGGTTGTGAGGTGGTGGTGGTGGTGGTGAAGGTAGTGTGTTGGTGGTGGTGGTGAAGGTAGTGTGGTGGTGGTGGTGGTGGTGAAGGTAGTGTGGTGGTGGTGGTGAAGGTAGTGTGGTGGTGGTGAAGGTAGTGTGGTGGTGGTGGTGAAGGTAGTGTGATGGTGGGGGTGGTGATGGTGATGTTGAAGGTAGTGTGGTGGTGGTGGTGGTGAAGGTAGTGTGGTGGTGGTGGTGGTGAAGGTAGTGTGGTGGTGGTGGTGGTGAAGGTAGTGTGGTGGTGGTGAAGGTAGTGTGGTGGTGGTGATGGTGAAGGTAGTGTGGTGGTGGTGGGGGTGAAGGTAGTGTGGTGGTGGTGGTGGTGGTGAAGGTAGTGTGGTGGTGGTGGTGGTGAAGGTAGTGTGGTGGTGGTGAAGGTAGTGTGGTGGTGAAGGTAGTGTGGTGGTGGTGAAGGTAGTGTGGTGGTCGTGATAAGGGTAGTGTGGTAGTGGTGGTGGTGGTGAAGGTAGTGTGGTGGCGGTGAAGGTAGTGTGGTGGTGGTGGTGGTGGTGGTGAAGGTAGTGTGGTGGTGGTGGTGGTGGTGGTGAAGGTAGTGTGGTGGTGGTGGTGTTGAGGTAGTGTGGTGCTGGTGGTGAAGGTAGTGTGGTGGTGGTGGTGGTGGTGAAGGTAGTGTGGTGGTGGTGATGGTAGTGTGATGGTGGTGGTGGTGAAGGTAGTGTGGTGGTGGTGGTGAAGGTAGTGTGGTGGTGGTATTGGTGAAGGTAGTGTGGTGGTGGTGGTGGTGAAGGTAGTGTGATGGTGGTGGTGAAGGTAGTGTGGTGGTGGTGAAGGTATTGTGGTGGTGGTGGTGAAGGTAGTGTGGTGGTGGTGGTGAAGGTAGTGTGGTGGTGGTGGTGGTGAAGGTAGTGTGGTGGTGGTGGTGGTGAAGGTAGTGTGGTGGTGGTTGTGGTGGTGAAGGCAGTGTGGTGGTGGTGGTGAAGGTAGTGTGGTGGTGGTTGTGGGACATTTGGGGCTTGAATCTAATTATTTAAATATTAATATAGTAAATTAAATTACGAAGGACCACCCGCTTTTATAGTAAAGAGGGAAACTGAGAAATTATGATCATTTGATAATTCCTAGATGAACCAGTAACTATGGATAAAATACTAGAGAATATGATCATAGAAATAATTAATGGGCTGTATAATTAAATGAATCAAACCTCAAACACCTACATTGGGGGGTTATTACTGGAACTCAGTACGTCCAGGAACTAGTGTGGTTCGTTCACTAATCCAAGATATAGTAATCTAATCCTATGAATAATGCTGAAATCAATGTCATTATCATTAATGGGAACATAGATTATGAATATAATAATGATAATCATAATAAACACATGTCAATCCAAAAATAGAGTTCTGCATGTAAATAATTCCAGATAATAAATTAGAGGAAAACAAAGGAATCTTAGCTTAATGACGATTCCTTAAAGTAAGTCACGACGCTTCCTCTGATTCTCTTGGGCTCGGCTGGATGACGAGTGGGATTCGATTAACATGGGAGAGGGCAGCTAGGAGAATTCTTCTCACATGCTGCAAAATAAATATTTACAGTAGCAACTAATTAAACTACTGGATTTCTATGTCCAACAAAGTAATATTAATAGTAGGTAAGGGATAATGACCTGTGATTTGGTGTTGGTATACGTCGTCACGACAAATCACCCAGCTACTATTCTACACCCTATCAGATGCATCAAATAAGGATAAGATACTTAGCTAATATGGGCACTGTGTAAGTTTTAAGTTTGCCGAAATTCGCGTCCCAGGCTCTGGCTTCACCTATCCTGGATAATGACGCGCTTCACTGGCCGGTCACGTGGAATCACAAAGAACCAGATTTGATAGGTTCCTTATATGACACTGACACCAGGTGAAGATATTGTCTGCAAGGCTTTTCACGCCTCACAGTGGCGACTTTCTTCGGGAGAATGGATAGCGTTTACCCTGATGGTTGGGTAATGGCGTCTCCTCGTGAGCACTACGTGAACAGGTCCGCTCGGGAGCGTCTCAACACGTGCACTGGCTTGCTCTCCTTCCCCGCTCCGCGTCTCGCGTTCATTAGACAAGTTATTATCATGAATATTAGTATTTCTCGCTGTTGTGCTTTGAAATGCTCGAGTCAGGACGGGTTTATTATTTAGAAGAGTTAAATATTATTATTTGCCAGTTCAGTGAGAGTAAACATATAATGGAGAAGAATTAATGTCTCTCCATGGCATTCACTTGTGACGTTAATTTTTATTACTAGATAACTGCTATGACTCTAACGCTCTATTCGGCTTTAGTTGGAGGTCAATTTATCTGTAATTAATTATCACACAGAACACCTTTGGTTATAGAGAATCGAATTCAATTCTCAGGCACATTGGATATAATGTGTTTATTACAATGAAATCTGACGCAATACTGGCGTCGGGTGACGTGAGAATTCTAGCCTATTGCACAGATGAAATTATTAGTACATGTGAATTCTACGTGGTGTTAATTTTACTTACTACAATGATTAGTAGAATTAGTAATAATTAATGAGAAAACAACAGTGTTGTATTCGGTGTTGGAAATTTCCAACAGTGGTGGTGAGAATATGAAGTGTTAGGCTGGTCTATTAGCCTCCACTAGCAAAATCTGGTTACAGCACAAGAATATCTTCCAATATTCCTGAGTGTATGAAATAATTACAGAGCTCAAAGTACTTTATACCATATGGTCTGAAGTCACTTATAACAGGGCAATCACAGATACAGTGTTGGAGAGTATGTCCCAGCTCTTATTCACATAGTTTACAATTGGAATGTTCACCATTGGGGGATTCATTACCTGCAGCCACCTTCCACAGATATCGATACCCCAGCCTAATTCTGGCAATTACAATATCACACTGTCTAGTGGATGGTTTATCCTGAAGTGCATTGGACATCACCTGTGATCTTATGACCATTTTGATGAGTCAATATATTCTCCCTTGTATTCATGAAGTTGATTTAAAAGGGAATTCCATTCACCCAGTAAGTATTAAAAGATTAAAGTTCCCTCACACTCGGTATTATTTGACTGATCTTCTCATGAGTCAATTAGCCTAATTATCATTCTTCCAGGAGTGGTGGCAGCATTATATGTTTATGAGTAAACTGATCTTCCATCTGATGTGTAAGAATTGCAAAGATATGTTTAACATCTTGGACATTTCTCTCCCCCCCCCCCCCCCCCGATAACTGGTTTGTGCATTTTCTGATGCGAGGGCAGACTATCACCCCAGAGAACTGGCAAAATACAATTATTACAGCCTAAAGTTTTACCAGTTTTTGTTTAGCAACCATTACGGTGAGTTTTTGTGGGAAGTGTTACAATGGGGACATGTATGTAACGTTACAATTGGTAGCAGCAGTGCTTGTTGCCCACGTAACAATAACAATAACACCATAACAAAATAGCATCATCAACATCAACAATTAGCAACGGTAATGTCTTCTCACTCACATAATAACATAGGGTAAAAAAAAAGACCACACTTGTGAATTTATGAAACTCATGTAAGGAATTTACACCAAGTCTTTCACACACACTCAGAAGAGTGCGAAAGACTGTAAAATCCTTACATAAGTTTCACAAATAGACAAGTGTGGGTTTTTTATCCAGTAATAATAACCTTAATAACCCTCCGGAGACTGATAGATCCCAAGCCCAACACCAAACCAATATCAAGTTATAATCACAAATATGTTTGGTCCCCACACAGACAAACATTGTCTATTGCACTAGATAATTATATCCCACAGGCCTTTAGATTATCTTCTAGGCATTTTACTGGTACAGTTTCCTCGTCATTTGGGACCTGGAAAAAAGAGATAAGCTTAGTACTAACATCCAATAAAAGTCATTTATCATTATATATTTATGCTTCTTGTTTAATGTTGTTTAAGATTCTCTACCTGGAACAAAAAGTTCCATGCAGCACGGGCTATGGTGAGCCCGTAGTACATATTTATGCTATTTCTATCCAATTTCATACATATTTTTATGCTTACTTGTACCAAAGTTGGGAGAAATTATAAGATTTTCAATCGAGAAAATAATCCAGATTTGTTTAAGCGTAATTGTAATGTTTAACTGTATATATGTGGTTAATGATGCAATACAGAAAGTTAAATACTTTGGAAATAAATAAACAATTATGTTTAAACAATATTATAATGATCAGACTAAAAATATAACCAGGTATAGCCAAGCCTAACTTATTCTAACCAGTTATAGCTTAGCCTAACTTATTCTAACCAGTTATAGCTTAGCCTAACTTATTCTAACCAGTTATAGCTTAGCCTAACTTATTCTAACCAGTTATAGCTTAGCCTAACTTATTCTAACCAGTTATAGCTTAGCCTAACTTATTCTAACCAGTTATAGCTTAGCCTAACTTATTCTAACCAGTTATAGCTTAGCCTAACTTAATCTAACCAGTTTGCCAAAGCTAAGAGTGACTCGATCAACGTTACCACTGACCACAGCTCTGAGAGCTTGATCAAGGTCTTTGATGAGGTGGTGAGCCGGCTCTAAGCCACACGACACACGGACAAGGCCATCTGTGATGCCCAAGTTCTCTCTAGTCTCTGCTGGCAGACACTTGTGGCTCATCACACACCTGTTGAAAATACATAAACGAAAAGTTGCAATGACTGGTATGTAATTTCTAGTTTATATTTTTATTAATCTAAATGTTTTGTTTTTTATGTAAACATCAGTTTTTGTTAGATTTTTGCCAATTTTAATTTATATGTTTCATTTGCTAGTATGACAGTATGTTAAGTTGGGTAAGAAAGGGAGAATTTAACTCTAAGAGAGATGAACAAGGGCCGTGACGAGGATTCGAACCTGCGTCCAAGAGCATCCCAGACGCTGCCTTAATCGACTGAACTACGACATGGTTGAAGGAACCCTCGTCACGGCCCTTTGAAATTCGAAATTTCATTTCAAATTACGTCCACTTTTGGCCATAGCGCGCATACGAGCCAAAAGCGACGTTATTTTTAAGAGGACGGGTTGTTAGCATGCTTATAACACCTGTCAGCTGGCTTACAGTTCGATTCCTCACAGTGGATTTGCATTTATATTTAAGTTAACTTTGAATGTCAGTTTTTTTTATTCATTACGTGTGCCATACCCATGCTGTGGGAGGTAGTGGAAAAGGTTACAGAGGCACACATGGGGCTCAGGAACTCTGAATTACTCTAAAAATAATCCAATTTAATGCTCAATTGAAAAACAAATATTAACCAAAACCCTTAATTAACTCACGGAAGTTGACAGAGAGACTCAACCCCTCCCAAGCTAGTTGCGAAAGTAAACATCTTTAACTGCTTGCAAAAGTGAGTCGATGCTTTTAAAGTGTTTCCCTTGATGCAGAAGGAGAACATGCCGGAGTGGCCGTAACACTGACGCTTCGACAGCTGTAAACACCATCAACACAGTTTACTGCCATCTATATACCAAGGAAATTGACATTGAAATAAGTTTACTGAGGTAAAATACAAAGGGATGAGGTAGCTCAAGTTATTCTCACCCCGTTCAGTACATCGTGTTAATACATACATATAAACACATCCCAAACAATAAACATATTACCAAACGTTCTGAGAGATAAACCTCTACATTTCCTCATATACCAAGGAGGAATAGTTGTATTAATTACAGTACTTTGTAAGTATTTTCACAGTAAGAGATCACTAGTAATCACAATAATAAATGTTTAAAGATATGCATTTAAAATTTCATCTCAAGAAAGATGAATTATAGGAAAGTGTGATTTATAGAAGACAAGAAATTACATTAGAGGAACACTAAGACGGCTAGACACAGTGAGTGCGAGGACCCGTCCTCTTGATTTACCACAGCGTACAAAATACATAGTTCTAACATGACCACAAATGTACGAACCCAAGCCACCTACCTAACCTAACCAACTGATGCATAGAAAACGAATATTTGTGAGCCGCTACTTTAGGACTTGGACGTTGGGACCATAACATACAAAATAAGACGCACTAGTCGAGAGAACGGGTTGAACGGCTTCAATACAGGGTACTATGATAACTAGTGGCTCACCAACAGCCACGTTTTCTATGAGTAGGTTGGTTGGGTTAGGTGGGTAGCTTGGGTTCGCCCGTTTTGTATCCTCCGTTGTTTGTAGGTTATAGTCGGGTGCCGCTGTGGAGGGTTCACAGCTCTCCCACCTCACCTTTTGTCCACTCAATGGAAATAAGGTAGATTTAGATTTTTTATTTTGTTGAGGAACAATACAGTAAATATTTCAATACACTGGAGTAAAGTGAGAGATAATTGTGCCTGCTGAACTTGTGTTTCCTGGCAGACGCGTACAGCTACTCTAACTGCTAGGCACCTTGTTGTGCATGGTTGCTAGGCACGTTGTTGTGCATGGTTGTTAGGCACGTTGTTGTGCATGGTTGTTAGGCACGTTGTTGTGCATGGTTGTTAGGCACCTTGTTGTGCATGGTTGTTAGGCACGTTGTTGTGCATGGTTGTTAGGCACGTTGTTGTGCATGGTTGTTAGGCACGTTGTTGTGCATGGTTGTTAGGCACGTTGTTGTGTATGGTTGTTAGGCACGTTGTTGTGCATGGTTGTTAGGCACGTTGTTGTGCATGGTTGTTAGGCACGTTGTTGTGCATGGTTGTTAGGCACGTTGTTGTGCATGGTTGTTAGGCACGTTGTTGTGCATGGTTGTTAGGCACGTTGTTGTGCATGGTTGTTAGGCACGTTGTTGTGCATGGTTGTTAGGCACGTTGTTGTGCATGGTTGTTAGGCACGTTGTTGTGCATGGTTGCTAGGCACGTTGTTGTGCATGGTTGTTAGGCACGTTGTTATGCATGGTTGTTAGGCACGTTGTTGTGCATGGTTGTTAGGCACGTTGTTGTGCATGGTTGTTAGGCACGTTGTTATGCATGGTTGCTAGGCACGTTGTTGTGCATGGTTGTTAGGCACGTTGTTGTGCATGGTTGTTAGGCACGTTGTTATGCATGGTTGCTAGGCACCTTGTTGTGCATGGTTGCTAGGCACGTTGTTGTGCATGGTTGTTAGGCACGTTGTTGTGCATGGTTGTTAGGCACGTTGTTGTGCATGGTTGCTAGGCACGTTGTTGTGCATGGTTGTTAGGCACGTTGTTGTGCATGGTTGTTAGGCACGTTGTTGTGCATGGTTGCTAGGCACGTTGTTGTGCATGGTTGTTAGGCACGTTGTTGTGCATGGTTGCTAGGCACGTTGTTGTGCATGGTTGTTAGGCACGTTGTTGTGCATGGTTGCTAGGCACCTTGTTGTGCATGGTTGCTAGGCACGTTGTTGTGCATGGTTGTTAGGCACGTTGTTGTGCATGGTTGCTAGGCACGTTGTTGTGCATGGTTGCTAGGCACGTTGTTGTGCATGGTTGTTAGGCACGTTGTTGTGCATGGTTGTTAGGCACGTTGTTGTGCATGGTTGCTAGGCACCGTTGTTGTGCATGGTTGCTAGGCACGTTGTTGTGCATGGTTGTTAGGCACGTTGTTGTGCATGGTTGCTAGGCACGTTGTTGTGCATGGTTGCTAGGCACGTTGTTGTGCATGGTTGTTAGGCACGTTGTTGTGCATGGTTGTTAGGCACGTTGTTGTGCATGGTTGCTAGGCACGTTGTTGTGCATGGTTGTTAGGCACGTTGTTGTGCATGGTTGTTAGGCACGTTGTTGTGCATGGTTGCTAGGCACGTTGTTGTGCATGGTTGCTAGGCACGTTGTTGTGCATGGTTGTTAGGCACGTTGTTGTGCATGGTTGTTAGGCACGTTGTTATGCATGGTTGCTAGGCACCTTGTTGTGCATGGTTGCTAGGCACGTTGTTGTGCATGGTTGTTAGGCACGTTGTTGTGCATGGTTGCTAGGCACGTTGTTGTGCATGGTTGCTAGGCACGTTGTTGTGCATGGTTGTTAGGCACGTTGTTGTGCATGGTTGTTAGGCACGTTGTTGTGCATGGTTGCTAGGCACGTTGTTGTGCATGGTTGTTAGGCACGTTGTTGTGCATGGTTGTTAGGCACGTTGTTGTGCATGGTTGTTAGGCACGTTGTTATGCATGGTTGCTAGGCACCTTGTTGTGCATGGTTGCTAGGCACGTTGTTGTGCATGGTTGCTAGGCACGTTGTTGTGCATGGTTGTGCATGGTTGCTAGGCACGTTGTTGTGCATGGTTGCTAGGCACGTTGTTGTGCATGGTTGCTAGGCACGTTGTTGTGCATGGTTGCTAGGCACGTTGTTGTGCATGGTTGCTAGGCACGTTGTTGTGCATGGTTGCTAGGCACGTTGTTGTGCATGGTTGTTAGGCACGTTGTTGTGCATGGTTGCTAGGCACGTTGTTGTGCATGGTTGTTAGGCACGTTGTTGTGCATGGTTGCTAGGCACGTTGTTGTGCATGGTTGCTAGGCACGTTGTTGTGCATGGTTGTTAGGCACGTTGTTGTGCATGGTTGCTAGGCACGGTGTTGTGCATGGTTGCTAGGGACGTTGTTGTGCATGGTTGTTAGGCACGTTGTTGTGCATGGTTGCTAGGCACGGTGTTGTGCATGGTTGCTAGGCACGTTGTTGTGCATGGTTGTTAGGCACATTGTTGTGCATGGTTGCTAGGCACGATGTTGTGCATGGTTGCTAGGCACGTTGTTGTGCATGGTTGCTAGGCACGTTGTTGTGTATGGTTGCTAGGCACGTTGTTGTGCATGGTTGCTAGGCACGTTGTTGTGCATGGTTGTTAGGCACGTTGTTGTGCATGGTTGTTCTAGGCACGTTGTTGTGCATGGTTGCTCTAGGCAAGTTGTTGTGCATGGTTGCTAGGCACGTTGTTGTGCATGGTTGCTCTAGGCACGTTGTTGTGCATGGTTGCTCTAGGCACGTTGTTGTGCATGGTTGCTCTAGGCACATTGTTGTGCATGGTTGCTAGGCACGTTGTTGTGCATGTTTGCTAGGCACGTTATTGTGCATGGTTGCTAGGCACGTTGTTGTGCATGGTTGCTAGGCACGTTGTTGTGCATGGTTGTTCTAGGCACGTTGTTGTGCATGGTTGTTCTAGGCACGTTGTTGTGCATGGTTGCTCTAGGCACGTTGTTGTGCATGGTTGCTCTAGGCACGTTGTTGTGCATGGTTGCTAGGCACGTTGTTGTGCATGGTTGCTCTAGGCACGTTGTTGTGCATGGTTGCTAGGCACGTTGTTGTGCATGGTTGCTAGGCACGTTGTTGTGCATGGTTGTTCTAGGCACGTTGTTGTGCATGGTTGCTCTAGGCACGTTGTTGTGCATGTTTGCTAGGCACGTTGTTGTGCATGGTTGCTCTAGGCACATTGTTGTGCATGGTTGCTCTAGGCACGTTATTGTGCATTGTTGCTAGGCACGTTGTTGTGCATGGTTGCTAGGCACGTTGTTGTGCATGGTTGTTAGGCACGTTGTTTTGCATGGTTGTTAGGCACGTTGTTGTGCATGGTTGCTAGGCACGTTGTTGTGCATGGTTGTTAGGCACGTTGTTGTGCATGGTTGTTAGGCACGTTGTTGTGCATGGTTGCTAGGCACGTTGTTGTGCATGGTTGCTAGGCACGTTGTTGTGCATGGTTGTTAGGCACGTTGTTGTGCATGGTTGTTAGGCACGTTGTTATGCATGGTTGCTAGGCACCTTGTTGTGCATGGTTGCTAGGCACGTTGTTGTGCATGGTTGTTAGGCACGCTTTTGTGCATGGTTGCTAGGCACGTTGTTGTGCATGGTTGCTAGGCACCTTGTTGTGCATGGTTGTTAGGCACGTTGTTGTGCATGGTTGTTAGGCACGTTGTTGTGCATGGTTGCTAGGCACGTTGTTGTGCATGGTTGTTAGGCACGTTGTTGTGCATGGTTGTTAGGCACGTTGTTGTGCATGGTTGTTAGGCACGTTGTTATGCATGGTTGCTAGGCACCTTGTTGTGCATGGTTGCTAGGCACGTTGTTGTGCATGGTTGCTAGGCACGTTGTTGTGCATGGTTGCTCTAGGCACGTTGTTGTGCATGGTTGCTCTAGGCACGTTGTTGTGCATGGTTGCTAGGCACGTTGTTGTGCATGGTTGCTCTAGGCACGTTGTTGTGCATGGTTGCTCTAGGCACGTTGTTGTGCATGGTTGCTCTAGGCACGTTGTTGTGCATGGTTGCTAGGCACGTTGTTGTGCATGGTTGCTAGGCACGTTGTTGTGCATGGTTGCTAGGCACGTTGTTGTGCATGGTTGCTAGGCACGGTGTTGTGCATGGTTGCTAGGCACGTTGCAACAGAGGGTTGGGAGAGGAGGAAGCTTGCACATCACCACGGGGAGTTGCACGATTGCGCCACACAATTGATATTGAACATTAACATTTTATGTATTAACAACGGACTCCAAGAGCTGAAGATCAAGCTGGTGTTTCAATTATGGCAGTGAAATGTTATGCCGGTACACTTGCACCATCCCTCACAACAGATCACCATCTTCTATGACAGCACATCATTGGCTGATATAATTTTACGTACCAACTCCCATCACAGCATCAGAATCACCCAGAAAAAGAAAACTGGTTGAGGCACTACCCAGTACACTACTCCTCTTTACCTTATCTCCCAGTTCTTTTCCTGACTCTTCCATCTCCTGCTTACCATGTTGTTGTTGTTAAAGATTCGCTACCTGGAACAAAAAGTTCCAAGTAGCATGGGCTATGGTGAGCCCGTAGTGCCTTTTAAGCTCTATGGGAATATATATGCTCTCACCGCCCTGCATTACCACGAGGACAAAAATATAATGCAATGGTAAAGTTTCTAACAGTTTAATGAACCAATACCCTTAACGTGTTAAGTATGCTTTTATATAATGTATTTTTTTATATAAGGCATTATATTGGGTCAATAAAACCTGAAAATGTGATGATAATAATTATCTAAAATTAGAAACTAGAAAATTCACACTGAGCCTAATCATTTCTGGTTTCAGCTGCAAAATTTTGTTAAAAAAAAGTATTAAAATGTAAATTGTTCAAGCTTCAAGCGACAGTTAAAGAGGAAAATGCACTTCCTTACCTCATGCTGAGGGTGAGATGGTAACCCAGGGTGAATGACCTTCTCCACACAAGGGTGAGTCTCCAAAAACTTGGCCACTGCTAAACCATTCTTCATGTGTTGTTCCATTCTCAGTGCCAAGGTTTTGAGTGACCGATTAACCAAGTAACAATCAAGTGGGGAAGGAACAGATCCAATAGCATTTTGGAAGAAACGAAGTTCATCATGAAGGTCATCTCTGTAAGTGACAATGGTATTTAAAATACACAAGTTTTGACGAAACTTACTCAAACTTTAATTTACATTTTATAATAGAAAATATGTTACTTGTAACTTAAATAAGTTCACAAGCTATATAATATTATAAATACAACAAAAAAGAATCAACGTAAAGAATATTGTTTTTCAAATACTTTTTCATGTATATATTTCTTATAAATATAAAGAGTGCTTTTGTTAAGGTGTCACTTAGCCAGTAACCGGGTTCTTTACTTATCAAACTGTATATGGGGCCTTATAGTGCCTCTTCTTACTCGATCCCAACCCGAGTCATAGGTAAGTAATTAAGAACTAGCAGTAATAATCTAAAGGAAAAGGGCAAATGAACACTAAGCTGAACTATCACCAGGTGTACTTCTCAACTATACATATGTACATGACATAACACTGCTGGTGTCACTCTCGCACACCACACAATAACTAATAATTACACAATAATACTGTAATATTCTATCCCAGCGAGTTCACCTTTCTCAGTAATCATGGGCCAGACCTCTACAGTATTGTTACAGTGCCCAAACACCGCTCCTCTTCCAGCAACACTGGCAGGGGTCTCCAGCAACACTGGCAGGGGTCTCCAGCAACACTGGCAGGGGTCTCCAGCAACACTGGCAGGGGTCTCCAGCAACACGGGCAGGGGTCTCCAGCAACACTGGCAGAGGTCTTCAGCAACACTGGCAGGGGTCTCCAGCAACACTGGCAGGGGTCTCCAGCAACACTGGCAGGGGTCTCCAGCAAAACTGGCAGGGGTCTCCAGCAACACTGGCAGGGATCTCCAGCAACACTGGCAGGGGTCTCCAGCAACACACTGGCAGGGGTCTCCAGCAACACGGGCAAGGGGTCTCCAGCAACACTGGCAGAGGTCTTCAGCAACACTGGCAGGGGTCTCCAGCAACACTGGCAAGGGTCTCCAGCAACACGGGCAGGGGTCTCCAGCAACACTGGCAGAGGTCTTCAGCAACACTGGCAGGGGTCTCCAGCAACACTGGCAGGGGTCTACAGCAACACACTGGCAGAGGTCTCCAGCAACACACTGGCAGGGGTCTCCGGCAACACACTGGCAGAGGTCTCCAGCAACACTGGCAGAGGTCTCCAGCAACACTGGCAGGGGTCTCCAGCAACACTGGCAGGGGTCTCCAGCAACATGGGCAGGGGTCTCCAGCAACACACTGGCAGGGGTCTCCTGCAACACACTGGCAGAGGTATCCAGCAACACACTGGCAGAGGTCTCCAGCAACACACTGGCAGGGGTCTCCAGCAACACACTGGCAGAGGTATCCAGCAACACACTGGCAGAGGTCTCCAGCAACACACTGGCAGGGGTCTCCAGCAACACTGGCAGGGATCTCTAGCAAACACACTGGCAGAGGTCTCCAGCAACACACTGGCAGGGGTCTCCAGCAACACTGGCAGAGGTCTCCAGCAACACACTGGCAGAGGTCTCCAGCAACACACTGGCAGGGGTCTCCAGCAACACTGGCAGGGGTCTCCAGCAACACTGGCAGGGGTCTCTAGCAACACACTGGCAGAGGTCTCCAGCAACACACTGGCAGGGGTCTCTAGCAACACACTGGCAGAGGTCTCCAGCAACACACTGGCAGGGGTCTCCAGCAACACTGGCAGGGGTCTCCAGCAACACTGGCAGAGGCCTCCAGCCACACACTGGCAGGGGTCTCCAGCAACACTGGCAGAGGTCTCCAGCCACACACTGGCAGGGGTCTCCAGCAACACTGGCAGGGGTCTCCAGCAACACTGGCAGGGATCTCCAGCAACACTGGCAGGGGTCTCCAGCAACACACTGGCAGGGGTCTCCAGCAACACTGGCAGGGGTCTCCAGCAACACTGGCAGGGGTCTCCAGCAACACTGGCATGCATCCACACAGGCTTCAACTATAACAAGCCTTAACAGACGGACAGAACGTTCATCTCGTAACTCAACTTGGCCATCCCGGGATACGTAGGTTCAATCACCAATACTTCACTAAGTATCACAGAGAAAAAGAGAGAGTGAGAGAGTGAGAGAGTGAGAGAGTGAGAGAGTGAAAGAGTGAAAGAGTGAGTGAGAGAGAGAGAGAGAGAGAGAGAGAGAGAGAGAGAGAGAGAGAGAGAGAGAGAGAGAGAGAGAGAGAGAGAGAGAGAGAGAGAGAGAGAGAGAGAGAGAGAGAGAGAGAGAGAGAGAGAGAGAGAGAGAGAGAGAGAGAGAGAAGAGAGAGAGTGAGAGAGTGAGAGAGTGAGAGAGTGAGAGAGTGAGAGAGTGAAAGAGTGAAAGAGTGAAAGAGTGAGAGAGTGAAAGAGTGAAAGAGTGAAAGAGTGAAAGAGTGAAAGAGTGAAAGAGTGAAAGAGTGAAAGAGTGAAAGAGTGAAAGAGTGAAAGAGCGAGAGAGTGAGAGAGTGAGAGAGTGAAAGAGTTGTAACGGGGGGTGGGGGAAATAGCTCTATCTTGTCCATTATTCCACCCCCCCCCCCCAGTTAACTAACGAGGCCGGGGGAAACAGCTCTCTCTAGTCCGTTATCCCGACCTCAGTTAGCTAACTATTCTAGAGCACTCCCAGAGTTCCTAAAGCAACCTCTCTCGTTCAACACCTTGTAACCTAGGTATTTGACTACCTAGGTGCTAAGACTACAAGGCGCCGTAACTTGATCAGCTACCCGAAACTCTAGAGAGAACTCTAGAACATATTTCACTGCCACAAACGTATAAGAGAAAACGAAAGGAAAGAAATGAATAGTGAAGTAATTAGTGAGGGTTTGGGGTGAGAGGCAGAGAGGTGGGAGGAGCGAGGAGGGTCATTAGTTGAAAGTGAGAGTTTAGAGGGGTGGAGGGAGAGGTGTAGATAGGTAGAAGTAGAAGAGTAGATAGTAGAAGTAGAAGAGTAGATAGTAGAAGACGAAATGCTGCCACCATCCATTCATGATCATTACATACACGACAAGGAATGGAACTTGTCTGTATCACAAAATTCACAAAAGATGTTATCATGAGGTCATTATTAGTATGTCCTATCTTTATCATGTACTCATTAAATCATGAAACCAGTAATCACAGAGGCTTTCTCACCTCAACTCAAAGACTCTAGGGAACAAAGACAATTTAAATAATAAATTCATAATTATATTTCATATGAAGTATCATACTTTAGCAATGTTCAATGTTCAAGATTTATATGCAAAGTGAGTCATCCTCCAAGAATCTGAGAACACTACAACTGACTGCCCCTGATCATCACACAACACTTGTAAAACACGACCAAGTCACCTTAATGTTCATCTCACCAAGTGTCTGCCGATAGCTGAATAGAGGGGGGGGGGGTGGTCTATAGTTGACAGAGACTGTCCCGCCCTGCCGGCCGACAGCCTCCCTGCTAGGGCCGTCTTCTCTGCTCTGCTGGCTGCTGTTCTTCTGTCTCGTTAATGCTCTCGAATCGATAGCTCTCCGAGTATATATTGGGGAACCTAGTAGCTAACTCCGCCCACAAGTAGATAGCCTCCGGCTCTCTACCAAGCCACTCCTTAAACGTCGGCATGTTTGAAGGCTACCAGGCTCCAATTATAAGATTAGTAGAAGTAAGGTGAAATTCGCATGATCTGACCTCAGGTCACTTGGAGTCATTAACTCTTAGAGGTGTGAAACTCAGGCCGACCAAGCTGGCGCCTTCTCAAATTCTTGTATGTGACTCATGTATCTCTATGTATTTTAAATACAACTAAACCAAACACCTTACAGTGTTACATCTCCCTTCTCCCCGAAAATAGTTTTTGCAACACTGCTAAAGCAAGCTAGCTGTGTGCGACAACTTTATTAACGAAAAAAAAATACATCCTAGCTAAACAAATATACATCATCCTACTCTAAAAAATGAAATATGTAGACAGACGTCCATTGTCTCTGGCTGGGCGACGTCACTGCTTGGTCTTGTAGATAATCCTTTACCACATTTCTTCAACACAACTGCCTCCGTCGCTTCTCCGTCGTTAACGCACAACAACCCTTTGTCAACCAGGAAGCCGTTACTACTTGAACTGCGCACAGGACCGTGAAATTCGGTTGTCCCAGCTGATCTGTAATTGGCCCTGCGTCAGTCACCATGAGAGACGTATATTGGGGTTTTTCACAGCTATAGTGACTACAAGTTTCGAGACCTCGTATAGTTGGCCCAGTAGAAATCCCATCCTACTCTTCTCCCTGTTGCTCCAGCACGCCTCCTTCAGAGAGCCACTTCTGACAGCCACATCAAGTCCGCACGACACAGGAAGAATCACTCAACAGAGCAACATGCTTGTAGGAGGGGCGGTCTAGTTAAGGCAAACGATCCTGTCTTGCAATTACGATCCATGCAATGATGCTGACACCAGCAAGGGACACTAGGCATCGTGTCTCACTCAGCTTGGTCTTATCTTCTTCTTTCTTCTCTCTTCTCTCTTCCTCCTCCCATGGGTCTTTGACAAGCGACCTGGGGTCCATTGGGGTCCGTCTGTCCTGGGGTCCATCCTGGGTAGACCAATGTTGGTGGGACAGACTGGAGTCATTATTGTTCCTCTTCCATCTTTACTGGGTCGTCTAGGGTCGTCTGCAGAACGACCTGGGGTCCACTGGGGGTCCTTCCGTCTTGGGGTCCACTGGGGTCCGTCCGTCCTGGGGTCCACTGGGTAGACCCATGTTGATCGACCGAGAGGGCAGCATCTTGGGGTCCCCTGGGGTGGTGGTGGTGGTGGAGCCATGACCTCCAGGTAGTGGGCTGGTCGTGGTGGTGGTGATAACCGCCCGTGAGTATGATACACAGCAGCCGTCTCCCTCTTTTGTATGTGCGCCTCGCCTTTCTTCTGGCTCATACCTGTGAATGAACAGAAAGGCGACAATACCGTGCTCCCAAAATGTTGTGTGACCCTGTAGTTTGTATAGGGTTTACACAGTCCAGTCATAACGCTCTCCTCCTGGCAAAAACTACACTAAAATTTTTAA